AGAGGAGTCAGGCCAATGGGTTTTTCTATTTTCGCATCACTGGGATGGTTATGCACGAGGGGGGATGCAGGATACGGGCAGCATCCGCTGGCTTAGAGGCAGGCCAGGCCAGACGTCAGACCCTCCTAACTTGGCCTCTTTTGCTCCCTCACTTTGTCTCGCATCTGGCCTTGGGACTGTCTCTGCCGTGTCCTGGCCGGGACCCCCTTACATTAGGTACGTAGGCGAAATGACCGGCACCCACCAAAAACCTCCGCCGGGACCCCCGTCATTGTACCGCCGGCAGCATAGCGAATAGGAACAGTGGACTCGGTACGGCATAAAACAGGCCTGCCTTGGTTGTATAGCACGCAGTCGTCATCTACATCGGATAGATTGACGAACGTACGTGGCTGGGTGATGCCAGGCCTTGAGAGGACGGGTAAGGACGGAGGCTTCGCAGGCTCGCCAGAAGTGGTAGGTTTGGACGGGGGCAGATTCGTCGGAGGGTTTCGAATATGACTGATGCTACCTTAGTGGACGGGATTCGAGCAAGGCCTGCAGCTCATTCCGATGAATTCCTTCCCAGGCCAAATGAAGCAAACGGCGTCAGCGGGCAGATGACATAGCCGTTTGATAACCCGCTGCTGATTGGTCACAACTTCCGCTGACATAATACACCGCTTCCACTTTCTGCCGTTGCTGCAGATCGCCAAACGAGACTTCTTTCCCAGTGGAGGGTCAGAACGGAATACGGCGCATCTGCCTGCATCTTTCTATGGAGGAGTCCGCAATGCCTCCCTATTTCGCCGCAGAAATCTGCCTACGGTTACAGTCGCCGTCGGGGCTAAGAAACCCCCGAACCGGGCTCGGGGCGACTTGAACACGATGAGCGCGCGTGGGGGATCGTATCTCGGTGATTTCTTAGGTATATATAGAGAGGGCAAGAGCCTGCAAGAAGAGACTAATAGACAGATCATTGACTTCACATTTCTCACAAGCGAGCAAACATAGCATATTTTTAGCCTTTCTTGGATTTCTCATACCTCATCTCCCACTAATACCAGTTCTTCGATTCTTCCTCGCATAGCATCTCTCCATTCAACTGTCCCTTCCCTTCACCATGGCTACCGTGGATATTCCCGAGCCTCCTGCATATCCCATTATTGGCCATGCCGCTCTCATTGACCCCAGCTACCCTCTCGGTTCAATCCAGGGATTTGCCGACAAATATGGTGAGTTCCTCTCCTGCTCCTACCTAGGCTGGTTTACTCCATTTACTAATAGCCCATTGTAATCAGGCGAGATCTTCCGCATGAGATTTCCCGGCTCCAACCAAGTTGTTGTCACAACCCAAGCACTCGTAAATGAGATCTGTGACGAGAAGCGGTTCAAGAAGGTCGTCGCTGGTCCTCTCAATGTACGTGTCTTCGACTTTGCCCTGCAACTCCTGCATTTAAACAGCTGCTGACCCGTCACCCACAGCATATCCGCCGCGGCGTACACAATGGCCTCTTCACAGTAAGTTACCTCTTGTCCCCGTTGTAGAGAGTCACGGCTCACAGCTCTAGGCACACGATGGTGAAGAGCCCTGGGGGATTGCACACCGCGTCCTCATGCCGGCCTTTGGGCCCTTGAAGATCCGCAACATGTTTGACGAGATGCACGACCTTGCAAGCCAGCTGACCCTCAAGTGGGCACGTGTCGGCTCGGACACCCATGTAGAGGTATCTGACGATTTCACTCGCTTGACCCTGGACACCATCGCCCTCTGCTCGATGGGGTATCGGTTCAACAGCTTCTACTCCGAGGACATGCACCCCTTCGTCCAAGCAATGGCCGACTTCCTCACCGAATGCGGCGAGATTGACAGGCGGCCTCTGCCGGGCATGTTCTACCGCGCCAAGGATCAGAAGTTGATGCAGGATATCGAGATTATGCGGAGCACCGCCGAGGCGATCGTCATGGCCCGCAAGAATGACACCAAGTCCGATAGCCACAACGACTTGTTGACGGCTATGCTCGACGGCGTGGACCCCAAGACGGGCAAGAAGATGACCGACCAGAGCATCATGGACAACCTCATCACCTTCCTCATCGCCGGCCACGAGACCACATCCGGCATGCTCTCCTATTCCTTCTACCAGATGCTGACCCACCCCGAGACCTTCACTAAAGCCCAGCAGGAGGTCGACGCCGTCTGCGGAAAGGGCCCCATCACCGTCGACCACCTCAACAAGCTCCCCTACATCAACGGTGTCCTCCGCGAGACTCTCCGGCTCACCTCCACAATCGGCATCTTTGCCGTGACACCCATCGAGGACACCGTGGTGGGAAACAAGTACTTTGTCAAGAAGGACCAGCCCATGCTCACCCTGGTGTCCAAGCTTCACCAGGACGCGAGCGTGTACGGCGACGACGCCATGGAGTTCCACCCCGAGCGCATGATGGATGAGAACTTTAACCGGCTGAACAAGGAGTTCCCCAACTGCTGGAAGCCCTTTGGCAACGGCAAGCGCTCGTGCATAGGCCGCGGGTTCGCCTGGCAGGAGGCCCTGCTGATCATGGCTATGCTGCTGCAGAACTTCAACTTCGTCATGAAGCCGGGATACACCCTCTCCCACAAGCAGACCTTGACCGTCAAGCCGAACGGCTTCACGATGCGTCCTATCCTCCGCGACGGTCTCACGCCCACCACTTTAGAGCGACGTCTCGCTGGATCGCTCCCTGAGACGAACGATCCCAAGGCCGGGGCTAACCTCGCCGCTGAGGAGACAAGCAAGGGCGTTCCTCTGACTGTGCTGTATGGCTCCAACAGCGGTACATGCAAGTCACTGGCGCAGCAGGTAGTCGTAGACGGCGCCGCACACGGATTCCGCACAGTCAAGATGGACTGTCTCGACAGTGTCAAGGGGTCACTCCCCACCGATCACCCGGTCGTGATCGTCACAGCATCATTCGAAGGCGAGCCTCCCGACAACGCAGGCCACTTCGTCTCCTGGATCCAGTCCCTCAAGGACGAGGAGCAGGCTCTCAAGGGCGTTTCCTATGCCGTCTTTGGCTGTGGTCACAGCGATTGGGTCAGCACCTTCCAGCGTATCCCTAAGCTCGTCAACAGCAGGCTGGCGGCCTTGGGTGCTAAGCAGCTTACTCCCTTGGGCGCGACTGATGTGTCGACTGGCGCGACGTTTACGGATTTCGAGGGTTGGGAGGATGGACTCTTGTGGCCGGCCCTCAAGAAGCACTTTGGCGGCTCCGAGGCTGCCACGGAGGAGAACAGGACGGGGGGTGTCAAGGTTGTCGTGTCGAACCCGCGAAACGAGACGCTTCGACAGGATGTGCAGCCTGCCGTGGTGGTGGAGACGAAGACCCTCACTAACTATGCGGATGAGAAGCTGGCCAAGAAGCACGTCGAGATCAAGCTGCCGACCGGTATGAAGTACAGGGCTGGCGACTACCTCGCCGTGTTGCCTGTCAACCCAAAGGAGACTGTCCAGCGTGCGATGAGAGTTTTGGGGCTCTCGTGGGATGCGCACCTGGAGATCACATCAGATGTCCCCGTGGCACTCCCCGTTAACACACGTGTCTCTGCGAGTGATGTCCTCAGCTTGTATGTCGAGCTTTCCCAGCCGGCAACCAAGAGGGTAAGCACTTATCATCCCTTCCCCTCCGTACATTGTGATTGAAACTTGAGACTGACAATGAAATCCCTTAGAACCTCCGCGAGATCATCGAGTTTGCTCCGGATGAGAAGACGATCGTGTCCCTCGGCCACCTAGCTAACGACGGCTACGCAACCGAAATCACCGCCAAGAAGGCCTCCGTCCTCGACATCCTAGAGCAATTCCCCCACGTCAACGTCCCAATCGGCGTCTTCCTCTCCATGCTCCCCCCTCTCCGAGTCCGCCAATAGTAAGTCCGACCCAAACCTCCCTCCCCTTCCCTCATCTCCAGTCTCCTAACATTTTGATAGCTCCATCTCCTCCTCCCCCCTCTCCAACCCAGGCCACGCCACAATCTCCTTCGCCGTCCTCCACGAGCCCTCCCTCGCCGGCACGGGCACCCACATCGGCGTCGCGACCTCCTTCCTCTCCACCCTCCAGCCCGGCGACATCCTCCATGTCGCCGTCCGCCAGTCCCACCAGGCCTTCCACCTCCCCTCCGACCCGGAGAGGACCCCCTTACTCTGCATGGCCGCCGGCGCCGGCATCGCCCCCTTCCGCGGCTTCATCCAGGAGCGCGCCAACATGATCGCCGCGGGGCGCCGCCTCGCCCCCGCGGTCCTCTTCTTCGGGTGCCGCTCCCCCGCGACGGACGACCTGTACCGCGAGGAGCTGGACGAGTGGCAGCGCCTCGGCGCCGTGGACGTGCGGAGGGCGTACAGCCGCGACGCCAGCGCGGCGGAGAGCAAGGGGTGCAAGTACGTGCAGGACAGGGCGTGGCACGATCGGGAGGAGCTCATGGCGCTGTGGAAGCAGGGGGCCAAGGTGTACGTCTGCGGATCCAAGGCGGTCGGCGAGTCGGTCAAGGGGGTGATGATCCGGATGCGCAAGGAGATGGTGCCCGAGGGGGAGCAGGACGAGGAGAAGCTGCAGGAGTGGTTCAACTCGCTGAGGAATGTGCGCTATGTGGTGGATGTGTTTGACTAAGTCGAGTTGTCACGAGTATGATATAGATTTGGGTGGGAGTTTTTGGCAAAGATTGCCTGGGTTTCACTTGGGGGTTTTTGGGTATCATGGGAACAGATTCCTCTCTTGTTTAGATATTAGGTATTTGTAGTTTGACAAATTGAGTCGTTCGACGTTTAATTGCATCTGCGCTTTTGTGTGTATCAAGAAAGGCTCTCTATGCCTCTAATCTATCGATGGAAAAAAAATTCAAACTGGTCTAGACTCCAAACCCATGTGTCGCAATTTGTGTTTCCATCTTGCTCTAACTATCTTATTCAAATATCCCCTGGTCTTTCGCATTTCCTATTACTAGAGAAGCCGTTCGCTACATCGAGCTACGAACATCGAACCTTAGACGGCAGTGAGGCCGTTGTCATTCTTCATGACATCCTCCTCCTCGACGGAAGCAGGGGGAACCTCGATGCCAAATTTGGCGTAGGGGAAGTCCTCGAGTGCGGGGAGGTACTCTGCCCAGCCGTCGTCCAGCTCGCCGACCTGGTGCATGTCGATCTCGCCCGCCTCGCCCATGCGGCCGGCGAGGATCTCCCCCTCGCGCCCGGCGTACACCTTCTTCAGCTCGGGGTGGGGGCACCAGATGACGCGCATGCCCGCGCGGCGACCGGCCTCGACGCCCGGGACGGAGTCCTCGAAGACGAGGCACTCCTCGGGCTTGATGGCGGGTTCTCCGGCGGGGAGGGAGTCGTTGATGGTCTTGAGGGCGAGGAGGAAGATGTCCGGGAGGGGTTTGCCCCGACCGGCCTGGAGGCGGGTGTCGTCGCCGAGGACGCGGCGGTGGGTGGGGAAGACGGAGAAGAGGTCGGTCAGGTGGTTGGTCTTGACGCGGAAGTTGGCCTCGTGCGAGCTGGTGGCGAGGGCGATGTGGACGCGCTTGGAGGTGTCCTCCCCTTCCTTGAGGTTGTAGTAGCGGGTGCGGCCGAGGCTGGCGAGCAGGTCGGCGACCCCCGGGAGGGGCCGCGTGTTGGGGAACTCTTGCGCCTGGAGGATGGAGTTTTGTCTGGTGTACTCGTCCTGGTCGATGGGCAGGTCGGCCCAGTCGAAGAAGATCTTGGTGGCGGCTGGACCGGGGCGGCCCTGGAGGCGAGCCTTGATGGGCCACGGCAGGTTGGGCTTTCCGTAGCGCTCGAGGATGATGTTGGTGCACTTGGTGTAGATGTCTTCGGTGTCGAGGAGCAGGCCGTCCATGTCAAAGAGACAGGCGCGAATGCGCGGGAAGCTGCGGCCAGAGAAACGAAACAGTCAGTCCCATGTTCGTGATTTGCGCATTTCAATCGCGGGGTAGAATGGGATGGAGGGGTAATAGTGAGGGGCACTTACTCGGTACGGGGAGCCATGTTCGCGGAATTGAAGGTTGATAGAGATTAAAGAATTAGGGATGAAATCCTATGGGTAGTTTGGAGGATGTGAGGTTGGGCGGGAGAAATTGGATGGCTCCGGAGGAGAGAAAGAAGAGAACGCGAAGCTCTCGCACTTCTGCAGGCCGATTGACTCAGAGTCCAGCAAGTGCGGGGCCAAACGCCAGTCACGGACATCTTTCACGATAAGCCTGAAGCGCAGACGGGAGGATCAGTTATTCGATTAATACTACCTCTATGGAAAAATTGGTGAATTGCCTCCAGTTTCAGATTGTCAAGCTAAAAGCGAGAGTCAATTGGTTTCACAAAAAACCGTCGCGGCCAACACGGTGGTCAGATGCGACGCAGCGTGTCCTGCGAAGAGTAAGTAATCATTGCCCGCAGGTGACGGGGGATGTGCAGCACCGGCCAAACTCGCATACTTGGAACCCGAAACTTGAATTTTGCGAGGTTTGATGCATATCAGAACCAAACCGGAAGAAAAAGCCCCCCACCATGAAGCGAAGCGGTCTGGAAGGCCAATGACTGCCCTGGAGGGAAGGAGGAGGCAATTCGCAAATCAATCGCCAGAATCTGAAGCATAGCCGCCAGCACAGCCGCCCAGCCCTAAATAGACACAGCCCCAACGGCGGCCTTCCTGACCACCAGATATTTCCTGTGGGGGATATCGGCGGATCGCAGCGACTAATAAACCTGAAGACCTGTCCCCAGAGCAGGACCCTGGGCCTCCCAGCAAGGAGGTCAGATGACGGAATCGAGGGACATTGAGCCGCACCATGGCAGGCTGGATAGCTGGGGTTCCCTTCCCACCAGGCTGAGGCTTGGTCCGATCGATCGGCTTAGTCTTACCGGCCAGCCTGCAAGTCATATCTGTCTCGTGTCACACGAGGGAACACGGACTTGACCAGAGCTACCTCATCGGGGAATATTGGCATGGCTGTTTGCTGGTCCAGCCCTCGCAGCAGCCTGGAGGCGAGTGAGAGTGTATGCATGTTTCCATCATACCGTCGGCAATGGTGGTAAGATGTGGAACAGGCAGCCAGCCCGTCTGTCCTCTTACTGGCTGCTGCCTACCAACAGCATTTCGCAATTTCAGCTGTTGGCCGCCATTTCAGACAAACAACCGCCTGAGCGTGTGACTCCAGAGGGGAAGGATATCTCGGGCTAAGTCGAGTTTGATGTAAACGTTGGTCCCAAGAGACTAGACAAGAGAAACAGTTGGATGACAAGGCCAGTATCATCAACTTTGAAACGTCGACTTGAATACGTCGCGCTTAGAGACGAGAATATCATGTCCTGGGCCTCATTTGGGTCTCTGGAAATCTGAGCAGTGGGTATGCAAAATGCCCGGTTTTGCTCCAGGCGCTGAGATGGCCGGTTCCAGTGGACGATTTGGCGCTGAGTCCGCTGAGGACCGCTGGCAAGGGCGCTGTAATTGGCTGCGCTGATTGTGGCCCTATCCGGTCGCACAACGGGCCGCTAAGGTGGGCTCTTACCGGGCTGGTGGGCGCTGAATAGTGGGCACTCGATAGTGGCTGTAAGTGCGTCTTGGAGGGGAACAGCCTGCTTCTGGGTCGCGCACGATCCCGCGTGGCTACAAGGCCGATCCCAAGGCGTCTACGCATGTCATTCCTGGCCCATGCCACAGACTGCAGGCGAGTGACATGGGATGAAAGTGGGAGAGGAATTGGCTTCCCTTGTCACACCGTCCGATCCCCATGCCGTCACTCGAGAAGCATATAAGCGGCGGTCTGGTTCTGTCTCAGACGCTTTCCTCTCGTTCTTCTTTTCATCAGACTCAACATCTTCCTTCACACACATACAAACAACCCTCAACAACAGAACTTACTACCAATAGTCACTTCAAGCTACCTATACCTTTCTCTTCTCATACTCTAAATCCTCTTGCTGCCCAACCAGCCAGTTCTACTGCTCAAACACCACCACCACAATGTGCTCCTACGAATACGTCCAGTACCAGTGCGGCTGCAAGAAGCCCCGCGAGTTCAGCCAGTGCTCCCGCCTCTACAAGAGAAACGAGAAGACGCGCTGCGACGAGCCCAAGATCTACGTCGTCGACTCCCGGAACAGGTGCCCCAAGCACCTCATGTCCGAGTCCTCCTTCCTCGAGAAGTTCTACAACCTCGCCGTCATCCCCCGCAAGAAGCAGCGCAGGATCCAGTTCGTCGAGGACCCCGCCCTCGTCAAGTTTGTCGAGCGCGATGTTGTCCGCGAGCATCACCACCGCCACTGCTACTAGGCCCCCTCGCTCTTGGGCGTCTTGAGCTTTGATAACGAAATCACGCATCCTATCTTACGAGCCATGTTTTGAGAGTCCTGTTTGTGTTTTTTTTTGTCTGTAAAATCTAGTTTTGTTGCCTGCGCGGAGTTTTGGAGCGGTCGATTTTGTATTTAGAGATCGAATGGGCGAGCGATTCTTGGGTGGATGGAGGATCAATTGAATTTCCTGCTAGATAGAGATTAGATAGACTCCTTAGCCTCATCAACACCATTGTCGATGCTCCTCTTGCCTCCAATTGCTCCTGCCTCTTAAAAACTTTGAATGCTCCTGCCCATGATCAGCCACTTGCTGCCTGTCTCAGCCACACGCCATATTACCCCTCATTCTTGATCCATCGTGTGCTTTGACTTTCTTTCTACATCCTCTAGGACCTACTCAACGGAGCTTCCAATCATTCGAGCTACGGATATGTCTCTCTGGTAGTATCGTATCCCGTTTGTCAAATCTGGAACGACCACAACGGAGTTTGTGCGATGGTCGTTGAAAGTGCAATCGACTAACCTACATGGGAGGATGATCTGTCAACTCTCATGAGCTAATGCTGCCACACTCTACCCCTCCATCGGTGATCATGTAAGGCTGCCCAAAGCATTGAGCTGGGCTTACATCAATCCACTGATCCTTGGACCCCGGATCCTTGACCTCTCTGTTCACAAAGGTAGGGCCACTGCGCCCCTCGGACAACCCCGTCCCACTGCCCCACGCTGACATGCCCAGGTCACTCTTCGAGATCTTTGATTTTCCATCCATTTCTGACCTTCATTATTCACCGCAAACTGAGCTGCCTCAAGATGTCTCTCTACGATTTCCCAGACGAATTGTTGGTCCTCGTCATCCCGTTCGTGGACCCAATCGCCCTCATCTCACTCAGCCAGACCAACCGCCACTTGAGACAGCTGATCCAGCCGACTAAAAGGCACTTTATAGAGAGGCTTCTCGTCCTAGAGTGCCTCGAAGCCCACGGCGGTCCTTATCTGGACGTCAGGCAGCGGAATTTCAGCCTCCACGCGTCCGCCAACGATGAGTTGAAAGACATGCGCTGGGCCTGCGCAGGCTGCTTGAAGCTTCGCTCCCACCGACATTTCAACAACAAGGCCCTGTACCGGCTCAGATACAAGAAACCCACCCCCAACACAAGTAGTGCTGAGTCTCTCGCTCTCACTATCTGGGTGGCTTCGATGAGGGGCGTAAAGTCCGCGCAGAAGCACAGGTTTTCAGCCCAGCCGGAAGAGAGAAGTCTCCGGCGATACAGAGGTCTCTATTCGAGATCGTACACTGATGAGACCCTCGAAGAGTGGTATCACTGGCTACAGCGCAACGGAACGGAGAGGGTAGAAGGCAGAACTATGGAGGACAAGGACCTGGACGATTTCAGGGCCATAGCGAGGTATTGCGGCCGCATGCCCTGCCTCGAGGAATACCACAAGTACTTGGACGACTCGCGGAACCACGGCTTTGCGCGCGTCGAGCGGCTGTGCAACGAGTGTCTATTCCAGGCTGGTCGGCTGCAGAGTATTAAGAGTGGGCGGGCTGGGTTGGCCCTGACCCCGATGCAGCCGAGCAGGCGTGTCTACTACTACAGTATTCTGGACCGATGGCTGCCGGGGTTCTCGGACGGACTGGAGCACAAGCGGCCACTGGTGCGGATCCCAAGATTGCTTGAGAGTGGCCCGGTGCCCTTTTCGGAGCCTTGGACGCTTTACATGGTACGCTGCTCAGGGTGCGAGCAATGGAAAGAGCTGCGAACTTTCCGGCTCTCCGTATGCGGGGCGCGATGGTCACCCACAAAGACCAGAACAGCGCTGAACAGACACACGCAGGGCTCTGTGGAGTTGGACGGGGCCCGTTGCCACGCCTGCTTTGCCAAGGAGAATGGGACTGAGAAGCTTGGGGAGGAACTCGTGCGCTGGGCAAGCGAGGTTATCGACGAACAGCTCCGTCGACATCTTCTCGCCCTTAGTTGGGGGTACAGGAGGCTAAAAGCTAACAGGGCGAGACCTGCAATACGAGTGCAGGAAGTGAAGGAAATTCTGGAGGGCGTTCATCTGGACGAGGACGTAGATGCGGCCAAGGTTGACGAGGTAGTCGACGGCTGGATAACCCGGTATCCTCAGGTCAAGAAGATGTGGGATGAAGCCCGCGCGCGCGACATTTCGCGGAGCTTGATCAGGGAGGCGAGCCTGGACATCTGGATAGAAAAATTCCAGGATATTGTCGATTACTGGTTCTGGTTGAAGGCTGCCAGGGACGAGATCCAGCAGAAGCCGGGCTATCTGGTGGACTGGGCCTTGCATGGTAGGGACGACGAGGAGTTGGCGGTTACCAAACCGAAGCGGAAACGCTCTTATGCACCTTGGCCTACTCCAATGTAGTTGAAGAGTCAACAGTGAGTGTGCATCCGCCAAGTAGAACTAACGTATACATAAAAAAGGAGCTACTTTGATATTTGCTAAGATTGTTGCCTTGTATTTCGATGTTATTTTATCATCTTTGAACTAAAATTATAAACACCGTATCCTGTTCCGCTTTTCCCCTCCCCACAAACATACATGTCCCCCTCCCCGCAAACCTACATGTAGTAGGACTTGCAGATAGTCATGGTCTCCACCAGATGGCAGCCAACGCCGATACATACGGTTCTGCCTACCACTCCTGTCACATTGCTTTCCCCCTAACTCTTGTGAAGAACACCGAGATGGAAACGAATCCCAAGACATGGATCATTGTAGGTGCCTCTCGAGGAATTGGCCTGGAGCTCGTTACGCAGCTGTTGGAGCGCGGGGAGCATGTCGTCGCCGCCGTGCGCAAGTTATCTGCCGCTCCCAAGCTGTTCGAGTTGATTGAGTCGCAGAAGGCTCAGGACAGATGCACTGTCGAGCAATGCGATATCGCGAGTGATGAGAGTATTAGCGTACGTCGCCTCATGCTCTACTACTGCTAGCTCTAGAATGGCGGACTGATCATCATGGCAAATTTCAGGAATTCGTCGGCAAGATCAGCGACGCCGTCAACGGCAAGCGCATGGCACTGGGCAACGTCGTCCTCAACGCCGGCGTGCTGCAGTATCCTAACCGGGCCACCGAGCTCTCTTTTGCAGACTTCGCCCTCCACCTGCACACTAACACCATCGGCCCTATCATCTGCGCGCAAAAGCTGCTCAACATAAGCATCGACGCCCCGCCGCCCAAGATCGTCTTCGTCTCGTCCGACTCCGGGTCGGCGTCTCAGTTTCTGGAGTTCGAGGATGGGTTCGGTGCGTACGCGGCCAGCAAGAGCGCGCTGAACCAGATGATCCGGCACATGGCGGCCGAGCTGGGGCGGTCGGAGACGAAGAAGCGCAAGACGGTGGTTCTGGCGCTCCATCCTGGGGAGGTGGCGACGTGAGTGCCTACATTTCAATACCTGACTCTCCGCCGCTCAAGGGCAATCTCATGGGTTGATCTGGTTATTACCTGACACTGGCTAACACCCGACACAGCGATATGGCCGATATTCAGCTCAGTTGGGAAGTGAAGGGCTCCATCAGCCCCGCGGAGAGTGTGTCCGGCATGTTGGACGTGATCGCAGAGAAGGGAGAGGCCGATACGGGGACTTTCTGGTGTTGGAACGGCGTGGTAAGCATTGCATGACCCCCTAACCTAACTATCCTTTCCTCTATTAGCATCGAGCTATGCTAAAGACACAAAACAGAGACATCCCTGGTGAGGGGAGCGACCCATTCTTGCTCTTGATGCTCGTTACCTAGAGTTGGTAAGTTGGTGAAATAAAATATCGCATACCAAAGCTCTTTTCGCGTACGGTAGGGACTTCATTTTCAACTAAACACAATGAAAAAGAATAATAAATTATTCTACAATATTTAGCTTGATATATTGTTTATTGTTAGGTTAATTGTTCTGATATTGTGTTGAAATCAAACGCTGAACTGTCTAGATGTGCCATGTTTATTCAGTACAGATCCTAGACCAAGGATCAACATGAGCAGAAAGGGAACTTTCATTCTAACACCCTTTGTAAGAATTTCTCAGACTCTGATTGTACGGCTAGAAGTAGTTTAAAAGTTGAAGATTCGATAATTGCGCTATAGGGCATTGTATTGTTTCATGAATAGTTACCGTTCCTCACTCTTGAATCTCAAAACGGTATTTCTTCAACTGGCTACTTCGCAGGAAAATAGGTGGCAATTTGTGAAGTTAGGCCCAATTGGCCACTCATATCATTAGGAATAATTTCATTCATCAATTCGTAGTCTCATGAAAACGTCATTTCGGTCAGTCCTTGAAGCGCAAAGCGAGGCAAATCAAAACAGCAACAACGGCAATGCAGTACTGTCCAATGCCCGTCCCTCCCTGCACATCACCCTTTGTCATAGACCAGGCAATGGTCAGCGCCGTCACGGCAAAGAGAATGCCGAGGACGAACGTGGTGACAATGACCCAGTCCACGTCCTCCACAATGTAGAAACCCCAGCCGTATGGCAGATTGTTCATGTTATTGGCAGCATCGTCCCAACACAGCCTCTCGCGCAACTTTTTAGGGAGCATCTCTACCGCCAGTGACCCCAGGTGATCTCCAGGATTGAGAAACACGTGCATAAACAGCTCTGGATGTATGGGAACATCGCCGTGCGGCGGAGGACACGGGCGAAAGGCGTACTCCTGGCTGAGGATCTCTTTCCTCGTCGGGATGCTGTTCGTCCGGTAGTTGCCCACGCAGTCTTTGGTCTTGCTCAGATGTAGCAGATGAAACTTGGTCTGTCAGCAGGTACGCTTGCGCTGCGAATGTCTCATCTCAAAATCCCACCTTGATGTAGTGCATCGTCTTGGGCCTCGTAAAGGGATTCCATTTCCTACCGCCACGACATCGACGGTATTCTGAGCGCAGGCGACGGAAAAGCCCCTCATCCTTTTCGATGTCGGTCACATCAACATTTTGGAGCTTAATAGGCCCCATTGGGCTGTTGACGCACAGCAGTATGAATTTCTTCATCCCAGCTGGGAGGAAGGGGTTCGCATCGCCGTGGTAGCCAGCAGACCCATCAAGCAAGTTCTTATCTTCTTGGCCGCTTTCGGTGTCTTGTGACATGTCTGAGCTTTCTTGTGTAGCACTAGAAGTATCTTTTAATGAGTCTTGGCTGCTGGAGGTTACAGATATACTGCTGGAGTTGGAACGCCCAGCGGCGGCGGCCGCAAACCTTGTGCCAGCGACCTCGCGTTCCTTGTCAACTCGGATATTCACTCGCTTGCCGCACCTCTGCAAGGTGTTAGATGGGTTGTTATGAGTAGTTCTAGCATGGCGGTCTTATTGCCTCGATAACACTTACGCAAGTCCAGGAAATGCGGACGTAGCCAGGCGCAGGCCTAGGCTGTAGTCAGTCAAGAAACTGGTTATGCATGGTCTGCCGCCGTGGTCTTGTATGTGGCAATTGTAGCACGTCCCGGATCCGTTTCACGAGGGGCGTTCTGGGGCTCTTGATGTATCTCCCGGCCGGTCGGTTTTGTACGCGGAGGGCGTCCGCGAGGTAGTCAAAAATGGCATCAACGCCAGTTCCCTCCTTGGCAGACGCCTCCACGAAATAGCAACCCAGTTTGTGAGCGAGTCTCGTACCATCTGCATGCGAAACTTGTCTCTCTTCGGCTCGGTCCATCTTGTTGGCGACGAGAACGATAGGGCTCTGCTCCCACTGCTCGCCGAAATTCTGGGTAATACCACGGTGATAGTGCTCGACGCGGTGGAAGGAAGAGGCAGATGTGATGCTGTAGACGAGTATATACCCATGTTTCGCTCCAAATCCCCTGTACCACTGCTCCAGGAGGCTTGAACAATATTCATTGCCAGAAGTGTCCAATACGTCAAGCGTATACACCGAATCTCTAAAAAAGCGTTTCATACGGTACGTATTTTCAATGGTAGGGTCATACTAGAGAAGAATCAGATATCGGAGTCAACATATTGGTAATAAATAGTAGGGACTCACACTCTCCTCGAAACTGTCTAGGCAAAAGCGCCGAACCAAAGCGGACTTGCCAACCTTTTCATCCCCCAGCACAGTGCAACAAATAGTGGGCACTGGGGTTCCCATGACGGTAGCAGCGTCGGAGTCCCTCATACAATACGTTTAGTATTGTGTTTCAGAGGCTATTGCCGGCCGTGATGTCCATAGCAAAGAATGATTGCAGTTGGGCTCGATGATGGTGGTTTTTCGAGATTGGGTTTGTACAAATGCACATCAGGTGGCCTTACAGCAAGCTTTGAATGAGGGGCTGTGCTGATCAGCCTCATTGGGCTTGCCTGCCCCTCAATCGACGGCAGGTGCAACCAATCTCAATCGACGAGAGTAGGTGGCACCCAGTCTCAGCTTGCCATCTCGTCAGGCACAATAACTGAGCCACTCATGCTTGGAAACAGTTGGAAAGTTGAAAGAATATCGCCATAACTAGGTTATAAGGCATCGTGTTGTTCATGAATAGTTTCTGTGCCTCGCTCTTGAAGCTCACTACCTAGGGCGGCAAGTGGGTGAAATCTCTGTTCGCGTACGGCAGGGACCTCATCTTTAACTCAATACAACAAAAAAGGAAAATAAATTAGTCTACGACGCTTAGCTTGATATAGTGTTTATTACTAGGTCAATTGATCTGACATCGCGGCCTCTTATTAAGTTTCAGAGCTACAGGCGGCATCAACCGGCAAAAAGGCAGCTGATGCCCAAAAAATGCACACAATACATTCCACCATGGATGCGACATGTGTAAAGCCTCTGCTCATGCGCCTTGCGACACGCCAAGACGCACGTCGCATCGCGGAGATTCACATGGCGGCTTTTGGCCCCAATGCCATGCTCCGCGCCCAGTTTCCAACCCCCGCTGTTCGCCGAGCGTTGCAGATAGCCATCGAGAACAAGGTCCTCGCCGACATTGACGACCCTAAAACGACTGTGCTTGTGGTGACTGTTGGTTCCAATGGTAAGGAATGGCCGGATGCGACAGGCTGCTACGCCTAAGTTAGATCGAGGCTGATACATCAATAGATCCGGAGAAGAGTCTCGATAACGTCATCTCGTTTGCCAAATGGTCAACCCCCGTAGATCCCGGTGAGGACTACATCGAGCCGCCCTGGATATGGCCAGAAGGCACCGACCTGGACACCCTGGCAGCTTGGGTCGCCCGGGCTGCTGAGGCTGAGAGTCGTTCCGTCGGGAGTACTCCTTGCTACCGTGTGTTTCCCCTCTTTTCTCCTGCCCACCCTTCCCCTCCGATGGAACTGACGACCATCTAGGCCTCTCCTTCATCGGCACCGAGCCCTCTTACTGTGGCCGCGGAGCTGGATCCCTTTTGCTGCAGTGGGGTATCCAGCGGTCCAACACGAGTGGCTCACCACTGTATCTAGAGAGCACCAAGGAGGCGGCCGCTTTCTACAAGAAGAATGGCCTCACAGCTGGTGAGGTAATTTCTCTCCCCATTCGCATTGACGGTGTTTCCGAGACTCAAATCTACAAGGAGATTGTATTCACCTATCACCCTGTACAGTAGAGTGACCCGTCCCAGTGTTTGAGCTGTTTAACCTACTCCCTTCGAACCAACAGCAGCTCGGGGATCTATATGTGTTAAACTACATGGCCCATCATAGCATGCCTATACGAGAATCGAAGCAAGGTCACAGAATTCCCAAAGGACTCATCGCCCTGCTGGTCATTCACTTTCTCAACCTAGCCCACTCTACGGGACCCAGCGCCATATGCCGCCCCTTTCCGTTGAATGCGGGCGACTGAGACTCCTTTACCCGCCTCCCCGACATGTCCCGCACCCTCTCGTCCCACGCCGTGCTCAGCTGCCGATCGTAGTGCGACCACAGCCTAGGCAAGATTGTGGTATCCTGCACGCAGTAGTCCACAATCTCTGTGGACAGCGGCCTCGCGTCGAAGACGGCGTAGCTGCCCCCCTTCTCGGGGCTGAACAGCTTCGACCCCCTTGCCTTGACGGCGGCCAGGCGTGATCTTTCGACGCTGGAGAGGGGTGCATCCTTCTCGATGCACTTAGCCAGGCCGGAGATGATCCTTCGTTGCCCGGGGTTGCGGGTGGCGAGCGCCATGAGCTGGAGGTCCTGGATGCCTGAGAGGTTGATGCTGTAGTGGGCGTAGAGGGCGTCCGAGTCGTTGCGGACGTCGAAAAAGACCTTTGGTATCTTGTCATTCTCAAGGATGGACTTGAGGGTGGTCTCGGCGTGGAGAGTGCCCGAGGTAGAGAACGCGAGGGAGCCAAGGGTGAGGACGTCGATCAAGTAGGTGTGCCCGGTGGTGCGGACGTGGATTTGAAGGATGGAGATGGTCCCATGGCGCGAGAGGTTGTTACCCTCAAGGTCGACATAGAGAGATGGTGGGCTGGTCGGGAGACCAACAAGACCATCGATCACATCAGGCAAAGCCTCCCGGGTGTCGACGAAGGTATACTCGGACTCGAGTGACTCGGAGTTCGTTGCCGCGGGCTCGTCAGCCTTTATCGTGGTACGATCAAGGAAGCTTGCCAATAAATCTACAACCTCTTCTTTGGAAGTTACGGGATTGATATCAGTCAATGATGACATTGTTGCAAATAATTCCGTTAAAAAACGGGGTGAGGAAGCAATATAAGATCAGTTCAAGAAAGTAGTTGTAATTTGAGTTTGGAAAACTCAATCAGTTGGAGTATTTACTAGGGAACCATGCCAGAGGAAAGAGATTTATACATCATTCTAATCTTTGATTACCCTTCCTCCTTATTTCTCTTACTTCATGGTTTGTTCTGGACTTTTCTGACGTCCAGGCGTAAACAACTCAACTGGCGCTAGTAGCTTAAACAAAGGTTGGCCTCCTGCATCGCCGTCTAAGACATGCCGTTGGCCCCGTAAAAGGCACAGCTGGAATTCAATGGAAGAACTCCCGAGACTTTTTACCAACGTCTGCTACTTGTTGGGCAATTCAGCAATATGCGCATCCCTGTCTATTGATGGTGGGATGAGTCACCCCGACCGGCATGGCAATAAAGCGTCGGTGGCCGTCAAATACTACAACGAGCTGAATACCAAGGTAGTCTTGTTCAAAGTAGAACGTTGTAGAAGTTCATGTTTTCATTGTGTGAAATGTGTATAGGTGTACAACATCACAGTGAATCCAAGAGGCATAACTCCCAGCGCCACTCTCTTTGGTAGAAGAGGCAAGGCATGTAAAGAGAATGGTACGACCAGTTTGCAATCCAGAAGTAAGGAGAGTCATTAAACAGCGGTGAGTTTGTCGATATCCGCTCTTTCTTGGCCCAGAGATGGTTGAGCGGGATGATTACTGCCGTGTCGTAAGTAAGGCCATCACTGCTGTCACTCACAGCAGAGGCCAATGTACCAGTGACAGACCAACATGGTGGCTTCCCCCATGAGCTTAATCGTCTTCGGCTGAGCACAGTAGCCGCAAGTGAACTCGTATGGGAGCCAGCGTCATACGAAACCGCGACTCAAAAGATTGACGAGCCAACACATCGAAACGGTTGGCCCCCGGCATAAGTCTGACCTAGTCATGAACAGCTTATTGGAGGCTAGTGACTTTTTCCATGTAGGGTGATCTATATGAGGAATGGTGATGATGATGTGTCCAAGTTTCCTGCCACTCGGCACAGCCTGTCTTACGTGTGAATGAAACCACCATTTCTTGCCATGTTAACAATGATGTGGTTTCTTGTTGGTTTTTTTTATCGCGCATAACTCCACATACGCCGATGCCTTCAACTTTGTTAATTGTGATCATTGGATAGTTATGGTTGAAAGGAACCAGAAGGGTCTCTCGCAATATGTGCCAACCAAAGATGGGTGAATCTCCCCTCCCAACTAGGTGGCATCTGATATGAAGCACTCGAATATGTCTTAAGTCTGTGAAAATATTATCGGCTTATTTAGGGTTAATACTCATCATTTATACGATTTCATTAATTCATTATTACAGAAAGTTGTATCCTTCTGAGTACCGTTCCATCTACCTTGGTGTCTCATTTATTCTGTCATCCACTTACTTCATTCAAAACTGAGCAGTAGAGTTTATTCCAGTAGAAGAATACTGTTCCTGATATATTTGCTTTCAACATCTTTTCATGTCGTATCCTGTTCGAAATTTTATCACATCCAGTTACTTAATGATGATCGATCGAGGGCGTTGATTCTTGATAGGCCCTACAAACAGCCCCGCTCACAACCACTAATCATGATTCAATCAATCAACCATCGCCAGTTCGCCTCTTCCCGTCCGCACATCACATTCCCGGCGACGCATAGCATATTACATAGTCTAGAATGGCTGCCGCTGAAGATAAAGACGAAAAGCCGGATGCGCCCATCCCGCGCCCAAAGCAGCCCTCGCGCCAAAAGTCACCGCCGCCCACAGACGAAGAGGAAGAGGACGAGGTGAAGCTCACCCCAGAAGAGGAAGCAGTAAGCCATCCATCATCATACCCTCTATCATCATCTATACAGCCCGCTAACTTGCTCAATCCCAGGCGGCCCTGCAAGAGTCGCAGATCATCAAGGCAGACGCAAACACCCTCTTCTCGTCGGGCGACTTTGAAAACGCAATCTCCCGCTACGAGGACGCCCTCCTCCCCCTCCCCAGGACCGCCTTCTTCCCCCGCGCCGTCCTGCACTCCAACGTCGCCGCCTGCCACCTCAAGCTCGAGCAGTGGAAGGAGGCCGTCAAGTCCGCCACCGCCTCCCTCACCGCCCTCGAGGGTCTGGAGCAGCCAAGTCTCCCCAAGCCCAAGCCCAAGGATGATGATGCTCAAGAAGAAGAAGAGGTCGAGGAGATCGTCAGCGCCGGCGCCGCAAAGGCCCACGATCCCACCGCCCAGCCCTCCGACATCCAGCGCATCCGTATCAAGGCCCTGCTGCGCCGCGCCCGCGCCCACGCCCAGTCGGGGACGTGGTCGTCCCTCGCCGCCGCCGAGGCCGACTACCGCGAGCTCGAGAAGCTGCCGTCCGGGTCCCTCACCCCCGCCGACGCCAGGACCGTCAGGTCCCAGCTGAGGGAGCTGCCGCCGCGGGTTAAAGAGGCCCAGGAGCGGGAGACGGCCGAGATGTGGGGGAAGCTGAAGGACCTGGGCAACGGGCTGCTCAAGCCGTTTGGGCTGAGCACGGACAACTTCCAGATGGTCAAGGATGAGAAGACGGGCGGCTACAGCATGAACTTCAACCAGGGGGATGGGTCCAAGTCGTGAGGAGATTTTCGCTCCCATGGGTTTTACGGGGCAGTTGAAAATCTGGACGAAGGGAAATTGGCAAATACTAGATAGACTCGAACATACAGACGAAATATTGAAAGCCACTTGCTCGCTCGCTCCGATCCCAATCATCGTTATCTCGTAACTCCATGCGTTTTTGTGCTGCTTTTTTTTCTACTTCATGCCCTGTTGTTCTTGCTATTCAAATTCGTCCAAATCTGTGTCCTAACCTCATTCAAACCTTCCTATCTCACCATTTTAACCATCCCATCTTTAAGAACTACTACTCAGAAGGAAATTCTAACACTGAGATCAATTGCTGCCGACAACTACAGTTCAGTCAACATCCCTGACCTCAATAACATCATCAAAGAATGCAACGCCGTTTCTATGATGGCAGGGAGTCCTTGGTTCCCTCCTTGATTGCTTTCATTTCCGGCCTCAGCAAATACGTCTCGCCTTATATCCCACGCCCAAGGAGCAGATGAGGCCCACGGGGAGGCCTAGCCGGGCTCGGGGGCTCCCTTTTGACAGACGGTGGCACGGTGAAGGCCGAGTCCCATCCCCAGACGAGTTTCAGCCTCATCTCGGCCTGCTTGACCCCCCAGCCTCTCTTCTGACGTATCCCCTCCAACAAACTCATTACCTCCCTCCTTTCAACCTCACTGACAAGACAGACCCCAACCAGGGCCAGGGACTGGATTAAGATCCCCGGCACGACGTGCTCCTTGCATCTCACGGCAATCCCGCACACCTGGCGGGCATGGTGCAGTCGCACGTCGCGCATGCTAGACGAAGACTCGATCGGCATGACCGGGTTGATCTCCGTAAGCAAGTATTGGACGACGTGATAGAACAGGCGAGCCATCACGGCAGAACGGTGGATCAGCCTGCGACACTGGTTAGCAACATCCAGGCTGTAGAGCCTTGAGTGATTATCAAGAGGCTCACCAAATGTAAGGGAAAACGGACGTTCCTGGTTTGGGATCGGTGTACCCTATCGGAGCCATTGACCTAGGGCACAAATCACTCCAGGAGTCGCACAGAGTCTTGAGCTCCTGCCACTGCGGCAGTCGTTCCCCCATCTGCACCATTTCATTGTTGGGGTCGATATGGAAGCCACGCGCTCTAAAGTTGACAGTCATGGCAGCAATGTATAGGACGCGGTGCAGCCAAACCGCCTCCTCGGCTGGGCTAGTGTCTGTAGACTGCTCAGCTGGGAAAGTCAAGGCAAAGCCCCAGTTTCTCGGGTCCCATGTGACCTGGGAGTGCGAAGTGAGGCAGTTCAGCGTCTCCATACCGACACTCAGCCAGAAGCTGGCGCTCGCGATACCGCCGGTACTGGCATTCCAGTGGCAAAAGTTGATGATTGCCCGGGACCCTTTGCTGTGGTGTGCTCGTCCATGGATTCTATCTGCCATCGTTTCGTAGACGTGGAGTATGACCGAGGTTATCGCACAGTTTGCCATGTCTGTATTAGGGCGTGACAAGGCATGCAAGAGCTTGGAGGTAGCCGTGCTGTAGTAGAAATGGGACCAATCATATTGGCCCTTCTTCACCTCGCCTAGTTTACGCCTTGCACCACATGCGTACATGGCATTCAGCAGCATGGGACAGTCAAGAGCCCTGAATGGCAGAGAGTGGCTGAACTCCGAATGGCCGTCAAAGCAGTCTATCCACTTGCCGATCGACTCGACGAACTCTTGCGTAAAGCATATCTGATGTTCGCTGCTGAGGTACTCTTCCGCCTGCGTATTGTCGAACGCGGCTTGTGGATGCCAGAACTCATCTATTGCACCCTTTGAGAAGCTGTCAGAGACCAGCGGCCCGTGTCGCAGGATAGACAAGGGGCCGAAATCATCCCCTCTAACGCAATCCTGGGGGGCTCGCTCGCCTTTGGTGGGCATCAGCGGCCCGGCCTGTGCCATTGTCTGCCCCGGCATAGGTGTGGACAGCTGGAATTGGTTCATCCCATTCGACTGCTGGGGCTGAACCCCCGGCAGCAATTTCTTATACTGTCGTGTTGAGATCTTTTGGGACCTCCTCATATTCTTATAGGGCTCCTCGCAGCCTTTTCCGCCATGGCCTACCGGTGTAGTCTTCGGCGCGGGGAGGATTCGCTGGTACACAGCAGGTTTCGGACCGCTAGCCTGACATTGTTGCGTGGGTTCCTTCTTCTTGAGGAGCGATCGTTCGGCCTTGGACACAACTGCCCGGGTAGGTTTCTTAAGGAAGCCCTTTTCATACTCCGAGGCGATAGCCTTAGACTCGTCCAGGAAATCCACTATACAACCCCCATTAGTATGCCGCTCCAACACCAGCTCACAGTACTATGAGCACTCGATTAACCGGAGGCATGACTTACCGAGTGTGCCAGGAGCCCAAGGAAGAAGCCCTTCACTGAGGACGAAGACATTCGTAAAGGTGAGCCTGAGCCCTCGCTTACATTCACGTCTACCCTTTCGGCAGTTCTCGCACGTGGGCTTAGCCTCGTCGCATTTCAGGTGGCGTTTCCGACATGTTAAACAGCCTGTTCGTACCCTCTGCGCCGGTGGTGCCACTCGAACAGCTTGCTCTGATCCCTCCATCATGGGTTCACTCTGTTGGCGAGGTACCAGCCCGCCCGAGGCCCCAATACTTCCGAGACCTTGTGGCAGGTCTAACGCTCCGCTTCGATTGGTCTACCGAGATAAGGTGAGAAGTCGCTGTATGCTCGGTTTGGGGACAGCACAGCACGAAATGGTAGCTAGACCATGATCAGTAGTACCGGCGGGAAGGCGTGCTGTGTGGTGATGAAGACTCGGTGCCGTCATTCAAGGGGGACGCTGGCTATGCCTGGGACTTTGGGAGCTCTTCGTATACCTCCAGTCGCGGCTTGGACGGCCTGGCGAGGGCGAACATGTAAGACTAGCCAATACAGTAGGAATAAGAGTCCGCACACCTGTGGCCAGAATATGGGGAAATATGAGATCCAAACAATGATGAAATATCTGCCGTAGGATGAGTTGGGTCACCGAACGATGATGGGGAAGGCAAACGCACGAGTACTCAGGATCAGACACCAAGGCACTCGCTCGGGTGCTCAGCGCATTTTCAGCTTAAGGAAAGCGTAGCCTGTGCAAGCTCTGTTCAAGCCCGAGCTGGCCAATGGCTTGGGTTACGTTTGGCCCGGGGAGATCTGAGCGAGAGCGCACCAGGGTACCTTGGTTCGCGTCCCTCTCAGCGTATCTGACATCCAGGTCAGGCAACATGCGCCCAGATCTTGTAAGAAGTTTCAGAACCTGAGCTGGCTGGGGGAGGGGCGTGTAAGCAAGTGCAGGCAATTACTTGGCAGCCGAACGGACATGCACAGGCATGATGAACATGTATCTGTGGGGGGTCACAAAGCCAACGAGCGGCTTCTGGTACAATCTCAACCTGGCAAAAGATGAGCCCAAACGTCCCTGGTAGGGCTAAACTGGAGCAAGGGTGGGATTTCTCGAGTAAGTTTGCTATTCCTCCAACAGATGTTGGATACTTGTTTTTCGTAGAAAGAAATCCCGAGGCAGGAGTCCCGGCGACGCCTTGTTCCTCGTCGACATCATACTTGGAGAGGCAGACAAGCATGGTAGCTCCATGTACTCGGTCGGGAAGGTCGCTGTGACAATATGGACCGACAATAGGCATCTCCAGCGCGCGTCGACATGACGAGAAGCCGGAAGGGGCTGGTAGGGCCCAGGTACACTTCCAATTGGACAGTCAGGTTACACAAATACACCAGGTTGATGCAGGAATGAGGCAAGAGGAGCCAAAACTAAAGCTCCGAGGAGGGCGGAGATGCGAGATGGATGCGAGGGGCTGGTTTGCCGAGGGTTCTACTTGATAGGCCAGACCAGAAGGGCTGCAGACTTTGCTGGAGCTGAAATCTCTCGCCTGCTTCCGGCAGATGGCGATGGCGATCGAGAGGCCATAGTAATCCGTGGTCCCCGTTGTCCCTTATCCACGTCCGTGGAATTGGTCAACACTCGACAGAGCGGAAGCACGAAGGACCAGGCAGCCCATACACGGCATGGTCCTACCGCAAACAGCGCCTGATTCGTTATGCCAACGCTGATACTCGCAAATATTGCGCCCAGCAGGAGTTAATGCGGTTGCTCAAGCTCAGAGCCGTCCTGCAGATGCGTCCATGGCCCACACCACGTCGGCCGTCCAACGTGCCCTCGACGTACGTAAAAGTCAAGCTTATGGCAACGACTCGCTCTCCCGCCCTAAATCCCACTTTTCTGCGTTTGGACCAAGCAGCGGATTCCTGGGCATCTGGGTGTGCTGGTGATCAATCTGCTCCAGCGGACGTCGGCCAAACCAGGCACTCCCGCCCACAAATCGCCGACTGGATCAGCTGTGTAGGAGGCCTACTCTCAGAACCTGGGTTCCTCCCACCCCTCCGCTATCTCTGCCTCCTCTCATTGTCGTCAGATGACGAAATGAATGGGTCTAATGCAGCCGGAATGTTGTGCATGCTATCTTTTCAAACATGTAGACCGGACGCACAGGACCCGAAATTTACATATTGCATCAATTGCATGCCCGAGATGCTGTGCAATGAATAACAAATTATCTATCGGCCCATGTCGGCAAGGTTGCCCAACTTCCAGGAGACCGGAACGGCTGAAAAGATCCCTCGTTATTTGACTCGTTGTCGCCCGCGGAAAGGAAAACCGAGAGCTCAGCGCCCACAAGGAACCACATGACGGAAACAGGAAAGTATCCCGTTTGTTTTGCACAAGTCCAGGACTAATCAGCGCATTGGGAGATGACGCGGTGACGGATGCCTAACTCTGTGGCGCTCGACACGGAGCACCCATCCTTGGGCTCACCGAGTCCTGCAGCCACATGTACTATGAAGTGAGCACGAGGCAAAATACCCCTCATGCGCAGCGCATGGACATGAGTCGTTGGCTACACGGAGACTTTTGAGGGGCAATACGCATGCGTGTCTGATGTCGGCCAGGAGGCCATGGCGTTGTAGAGTGACCAGATCACGCAGTCTGGCTGGCTCGGTACATGGAAAGTGCAAATCCACTGAGGAGGCGGTGAGCCCGGTGCATGCGTCTGCGAGAAAAATGGAAATTGCAGCAGCCGTATGCATGCTAACAGCCGTATTCTCTGCGGAAAGTGCACCAATACGTCCGCGCTCCGTACAAGCAGTCATGTCGGTCGGACCATGCCCTTAGCCGATTTTCGCCACATGTACCATTGCATTCTGATGTAGGCCGCTCAAAAGGTCCAGTCCTAGTGCTGTGAATCCGGGGTGTGGTTACACACGCTGCGCTGCTGCTGCTGCTGCTGCAGCTGTGCAGGCAAGACGGCGCAGCCGTGATACCATATTCGAGCCCACAGAGATCTACTCGGCCAGAATGAGGCAGCAAGGGGGGTGACGGCCACTCTCTCTTCGAATCTTCACCGCTTGGTGCTTGGTATCTCCGATGACCCGCAGATTGGTAAATTGTTGGTTGGCAATTGACGAGATCGAAATCGAGAAGGAGGTTCGGTTTCCAAGTCACCAAGTATTGCTGTCACGTGATTCTACTACCGGGTAGCCATTGCTGGTGCAGCTCTTCCAAGCACCTGGACATGCAAACAAACAATCACCAAAGAGTAAGTAATCTATTGTCATCACCAAAGTCTAATGCCAGAGTTCTTTGCAGAGGGACCGTTGGTATTGATAAGCAACACTCTAATCTTATAAGTAGTCCACCATGTGCCGGTGATACTGTACAACACGAGCATGGCAGAGCATAATCCTCCTACCCCGAAGAACATCCTTCGGGGTCACAAGGCCCAGGTGCATGCCGCGGCCTTCCTGAGGCGTAATTCGCGGCTTGCTACCGGAGATGCGGACGGCTTTGTAGTCTTGTGGGATCTCACCATTATGAGACCCAGGGTGGTTTGGAGGGCCCATGAAAATGCCATTCTCGGGATCCGAGGCTGGGGACACGACAAAGTCATCACGTAAGACGGCGCCTTTGGAGAGACCTCGACACCTTAATTCCTTCATTTCCTTTTCCCTGACGTTTCATAGACACGGCCGCGACCACAAACTCGTTGTTTGGAAAGTCGCCGAGGATGACGAGCAACGCCTCAGCACCACGTTGCCGCTCGAGGAGACGCCGGTTCCAAGGCCAACCCCTTGGATGCTCCATCTCCTTGAAGTGAACACAATGAATTTCTGCGCTTTCGGGGCAACCGCTGCGCTATCTGATAGTCCAGTTTCTGGTTTTAACGAGGCTTCTGAAATTTTAATTGCAGTGCCGAATACCATTGCTTCTGAACAAGTAATCACGCCCTCTCCTTCTATACAATGCACGAGAGCTGACTGGTCCAGATCGATATATATGAACTACCATCCCAGAAACGCATACACACCGTTAAACCTGGCAAAGATAATGGCATGGCCATGGGTGTAGCACTTGCCAACCTAGAAGGCTCGCTTCTTCTCGTCGCTGCCTTCGAAAACGGCTACGCATCCATCCATCGACTCGACCCTGATGGAGAATGGGTCATGACATACAGATCACAGGCCCATACTCAACCGATATTGTCTCTCGCGATACACCCTACCAACAAATACTTCATAACCTCCAGTGCCGACGCCACTGTCGCCAAACACCCACTTCCTCTCGTCCAGCAAGACGGCATGGCGGTTCTCGACCCAGACAACCGAATCATCGAGGAGATTGACGATTTGCCAGCAGAAACCCAACCAGGCCCGTCTCTTCTTTCAGCACAGCTTGATGGAAGCTCTGAAAAATCAAAGGCCAAGAGCAAGGCCAAGATGACAGCTTGGGAACACCCCCATAAGGTGGCGAACACAAAACACTCTGGCCAGCAGGGCCTCAAGATCCGATCCGACGGGAAGATATTCGCAACGGCCGGATGGGATGGCAATTTCCGCATATACTCTTGCAAGACGCTCAAAGAGCTGGCAGTTTTGCAATGGCACAAGGTCGGCTGCTACGCCGTCGCCTTTGCTGATCTCGACTCGGACACGACGCCCAAAGACACACCAGAGGCGACTGCTGGAAATACTAGCTCAGAAAATCCGGATAGGCGGATCCAAATATTGAATACTCCCACGGTGAAGGAAAGAAGGGTACAGCAGGCCAAGACGACACATTGGGTAGCTGGAGGTGCCAAAGATGGCAAAGTTAGCCTGTGGGATGTATATTAACATTGGCGAGTTCGCAGCAACATAGACGAGTTCCCATACAATCTGACGAGACCAACTTGAATAGAATATCATGATTTTTATTTCTATTTCTGCGCCTTGTGCCGTTTAACTTTTCGTTTCTCGTGTCTTCGTAATCCAGCAATCATTACCGGGAGCCTCGACAGCCTCGACCTAAACCCATCATCCGCCAGCGAGCCCCCACCAAACCCTCATCAACCACGCCGCGACCAGGGCATCCCTCGTACCAGCCGTCATCTCCGCCGTCACGACCAGACTCATCAGTCCCCCCGCCTGCACCTCGCGCGCGAGCAGGGCCCCCTCGCCGTCGCTCCACTCCCACGCGACGTCCTGCTGCTTCCTGCTCGTGGGCGGCACGGCGGAGAACATGACGGGCCCGGCCTCGTACCGCCCCGGCCCCGTGCCGCTGAAGAAGGCGCGGCACACCTTAAACCCGGATCGACGCCCGAAGCGCGAGACCCTCTCGATGCCCATGCTGGCGGTGCGGCGGGTGCGCGACTCGGCCTGGAAGGCGAACGCGGGCATCTCGGCGGCCGTGCGGTGGGTGAGGTGGAAGAGGGACCGCTTGCGCGTGGCGACGGTCGGGATGCCGCCGACGCTGCGGACGGTGTGCTCGAGGCGCTCGAGGACGACCTTGCGGTCCGTGTCGCTGAGGAAGCCGACGGAGTGGGAGAGCTCGTACAGGGGCGCGGCCTGGGGGTCCGAGGAGTGGATGAAGCGCGAGGCCGCGTAGAGCGTGGTGGGCTGGAGCATTTGGTTGGCTGCGTCGGTGGTTGCGACGTCGCCGTAGGACGGCAGTCCATCGCTTCGGATGGGGTCCTCGGTGGCCATCTCTTGGGTTGTGGAGGGGAGGGAGTGTTGGATGGCAGTGGCTGTGAGGGTGCGTGGTGATGTAATCCCAGCACAGGAGAATAGGAGAACAGGATGGTCTTTAATGCTCCGCGTAGTGCTCTGAGTCGAGGATGAGCGGCAGACAGACGATCAGATATAGTGATTCAGACACTCAATACGATGACGTATGCGTCACTGCCGAGGCTCTCCTGCCGTATTATAGCCTCCCCTCAGGTAATCGACCGCATTGTCGCGTGCCCAGGATCGAGCAGGAAAGCCCAAGACAATCATTCCCTCTCTGATTGGAGGATGACAGTAACCAGGAGGAATTATTGGCTACTGAGTGTGATTAATCTCAGCTTTGTGAGCCTTGGCTGTGCTTGGCTTCTAGCTCGCTTCTCCACTAAGGCTGCGTTAAAGCATGGCTGTGCCCAACCGAATACGCAAAACGACCAGCTGCTCAAAAATTGACATATTTTAACCCGCGACCCAATGACTGTCTTCATTCTGGCCAGGCCGCAGCAATATATACATGTCTTAATTTAGGAGACCAAGGCGACATGACCGGCTTTTTTGTTACCGTCCAGGAATTTTCCCAAGGCAGTGCAAAACATGACATCCGGCCATGTAACAAAGGTTATTTGTTCCAACATGCCTTCAGATTACTGCCTTCTAATGACGACTCTAGATATTACTTTCGCCTCACATCGTTGAGAACATCTATAGTTAACTCTTCATGAGAGTACTCGAGATCTGCCTCGTTGGCCATCTCAGAAAACACCATCCTGAGATAACACCCACAGCCTTGATGCGATTGCATGTTAGGAGCGCCATCCCCAGGCTTGACGGGAAACTATCTTGCGCGTCTCTCCATCCAGAGTTCGTGCTTGACCAGTATTTACCTCATGTCGCAACACGGCCGTCATTAGTAGCCTTTTCAGGCCTCCCCTCAAAGCGACCAGTCCACAACTTGCCTCACTAATCGTCTTCCAACCAAGTCAATACGGCCTAACTACGCTTCTCTCCTGCAAGCATTCACGCGAAAATTACTGAAAAATTAAAAGCACCGAGATAGATCGGATCCTTGTGAATCTAGCCATCCGGGATGGTTCGGATCTCCTTATGCTAAGTCGCTAAGTTCACAAAGATCCGATCTACCTCGGGGCGCATCTAATCCACGAGCAGGACCTGATTAGAGACTCCTACCAGCTTCCCCCGTGAAGACTTTTGAGTTCTGCATGTTCTGTGGTCCCGAAGATGGACAAGTGGAAGACCCAGTATGAATGTGAAGCTGGTAGAGGCCATAGTCCGTGCCTGGAAACAGACAAATGGGCGTTTCGAAGCTAAGCCTGGAAGGATGCTAACTTGGAATATGTTCACCTGAGGGAGATTTATCGCTAAAACGACTGACAGTTTATTCAGATGCTGTAGAAATGCCGGCTCGGTAAGTACGATGTAGGTGTGTTTATGTACGTTTCTGTGCTACATGTAAAGAGCATTTAACCGCGTTTCCCCCACTCAATCTGCCTTATTCTTCCAATTCCCCCTCCTCTCTCGCAAACGCATCTGCCAGTACCCAAAAAATCTACAAGCAGTCAAAGACCAAAGCAGCACCCTGATCAGTGAGATGATTTCCCTTTCAATTGCAACAACCTCATCCGTTGCATCAGGCCAGGGCTGACCAACATTCACATCATACAGGCCTAAAACGCCCAAGTATGGCAGATCAAGTCGCAGAATCCCATGATGGCGATGCAGCTGGATTCTCGAGCGCCACATTGTCGCTAGTCCCCAGCGATTGCGAGGAGTTTGACCTTCACATATATGCCAGCGACATGTTACTCATCGTGCAGTCTAATAGCGATGATGCTGCTGCTCGTCTCTTGCACCTAAAAAATGTTCGCGAGGACACACTCGCCGAGGCCCAAGCTACTGTCAATGGCTTTTTTGACCAGTTCGAGCCTCTTGACAGCGGTCGCCCCGGCACAGTGTTCCAGATGTTTGATGAGGTCCACGAGGATTCAAAGGACCATATTGAAAGGGCTCTGGATTGCGTTGAAGATGTCGAGAGCGAGTTGACGGAAATTGAATATGATGACGAGCTATATCCCAAGAGACCAACAAGCACGACTAACCACAACTCTAATCCAATTGCCGAAGTCTTGGCTGCCTGTGATGAATTTCTCAAACGGGTACGCTCCATCCAGGCCAAGTCTACAGACTACGCCAATGACACTGGCTCCAAGAGGTATGCCAGAGTAGTGATCAAGGGGGGCGATCCCAGTCACGGGCACCTTGGTACTTATGTTGGGCAGGAGAGCGTGAAGCGTGACCTAGGTTGCAGATGGGATGAACAATCATACCCGGGACGTCTGAGCAGTGAGTATCAGGTAAGATACCATGTCCGCTTGGCTCAGGATAGGGGATGGGTATTGGTATACCAAGATTACGGTATATCTTTAGCCAGCAAGAATGAGAAATAATGTATAGCGCTCGATAAATCAATCAAGAAGCAGTAATTTTCCTATGAAAAAATGCTAATATCATGGAGAATAATCTACGATACCAGCCAATTTCAACTGCCGCGGCCGTTCTCGCAATCCAAAGAGTCTTCCTTAATTACGATCCATCTTCGCTATAAACGATATCGGTACGTTCGCGCAAGCGATCGAGGTTCATGGTTTCGTCAGACGCGGCAATTTGTCCAAGATCGGTAGTAGGCAGGCCAGTTGACAATGCCCCTTAGATCTACCCAATGCTGCGAGCGGTATGGGGGAACAGGCGTCCTGATGACATGTCATCTTCAAGAGTAAAAAGCGTAGTGAAAATTAACGGCGTCGGATTTAAGGATCTAAAGAACCTTTGCAAAATACTACATACGAGGTGCCATAGTGGGCTAGATGCCTCTTTATCGTATCTCCGGTCCCCTTTTCCGCCGTGCAGATCATGGATTGTCTGTTGGTCACAGGGCAGTCATCAAGGTGCCAATCCCAGGCATTCCATGCAGCCTCCATACCTCAAGCAGCGACTAAGTCGGGGATTGACGCGGCTCAGATGTGAAAACGATCTGTGCTGGCCTCACCTAATCCTTGTGATTACAGGCCAGGGGGTGTTGGGTACGAAAGACAGCGAGATGAGTAAGAAGATGCAGTAAAACAACGAAACCATGTAGAACTAGTATTGATAATTTATTGCTAACAATGCAATGTGCCGCAGACATGACAGATGGGGCTCCTGTGTGATCTCACAGCTTTGCCTAAGAGATGTGATGGCAAGTGTCAGGGATCCCTTTGCGCAGACCGATGCAGGCGAGGCTACGGCTGCAAAGAAAAGGGTCCTACGGATGAATTTTCGGCAGACCCAATTGAATGGAGACTCTCCGGCAAATGAGAAGATAAGATCCGAACGAAGATGGGAATAAGAATCAATTGCTCAAGCGTTATGGTCCCACCAATCTAACATGCTCACGTAAAGTCCACCCTGGAACTAGATCGAAATTGCGGATGATTCCCGCTGATGACTCATTGGCATAACGACGTAGTGGGTTTGAGAATCAAGTCCGCAGGGATGAGACATGATGAACCATCAGGTTCTGTTGAGTAATGGCGGCCTGGGATGACGAACTAGGCATCAAGCTAGATGGCTTAGAGGGCAGTCTCCGTCATTGTGTGCCATCGTGTGCAGGTCCATCTAGACGGCCATCTGCATTATCTCCGGGGTTGGTCAGCAAGCGATGCGATAGTGGGAAATCAACTCGACGGAAGCTCCATGTGGCGCACCGTGAATCAATCATTTGGGCAGCGTCTGCGGACTTTTGCCTGGTGTATGTCAGCAGCGGCCGCTCAGTAAAGCTGGCTGCGGAATGATTGCGGACTTGGGGGTTTTGGCGAGGGGGATAAGGCTGTTCAGGGCTGTCCTGCCTGTAAAGTGCCGGATCAGCGCAGGCCCTAAGACCAGGAGGGCCTAGCACATGGGTCGATCTGAGCCCGGATCTCGTCTGCTCGGAGTTCGGTAGCCAATGAGAATGGCCAACGCATGGCTCATGGTGAGCAGGCCCCCTAACCGGCCCCTAGCACTCGGCGGAGACTTGCTGTAATTAGTCGCCGGGCCAGAACCTGAGCCTGCCGCACATCTTATTCTAGCGCTGGGTCCGGCTGTCGCTAGCCTGCACGTTTTTCACGGCCTTAAGCCTGGTCACGGACTTTGGCCAAGCAGCTTGTCGAGCCAAATTTCACCATAACTCATGTTTATTGATGCTGAACTAGGGGGCCCGGCTCCTTTTCTTTGTCGTTTGGGCAGAAAACTCCCCGACCCTCTTCGGCGTTATGCTGGAGCTAGCTAGTGTCTGACTCTTTTGCGCTCCGCAAGCAATGTCCCCGAAGATTAGAAATCCATCATCCTTACCGATCTATACGGTGGTCGTCATGTTTCGACATGGCTCCCGTGGACCGGCCCCGTGGAGGGCACACAAGATATAAAGTATCCGCGCCGGTCCCTCCTTGGACTGGTTCCCGGAGCATCAGATCTTAGAGCAACCCAATCCATGATCACCACTTCTCCAACACAAAGCAAAGATCAAGATCAACAGATAAGCTTATCAAACAAGATGGCGACGCTAGCACCACTCAAGGAGCTGGGGAATGAGACCGATCCTCGCTCCTCCTCGGCATCTACCCTTGCCAGTCACCTTGCCTCTCCCCAAGCAAAGGAAGTTGACGAAGAGTCCTCAGACGAGAAGCGGGCCGCTTCAACCAAAGAGGAAGAAGATGTGGCCGGCTCAAACGATCCCGATGATATAGAGTATCCTACGGGAATCAAGATGTTTTTCATCGTCGTGGCTCTCGTCCTCAGTATCTTCCTCCTCTCTCTGGATATGGTATGTGTCGCCCCTATACCCCTTGAACTTCAATGACATGGCTAACCCCTGATAAGACCATTGTTGCAACCGCCATTCCCAAGATCACAGACGAATTCAAGGGTCTCGACAAGGCTGGCTGGTATGGAGCCGCCTTCTTCATGACAGTCGGCGCCTTCCAATCCACATGTAAGTGGCTTTAACCCCACCAATCTACACAACCAAGCATACTGACCCCTCAAAAAAGGGGGTAAAATCTACAAGTACTTCCCCCTAAAGACATCCTTCCTCATCGCCATCTTCATCTTCGAGCTCGGCTCCGTCATCTGTGGCGCCGCCCCCTCCGCTGAAGCCCTCATTGCCGGTCGTGCCATTGCCGGACTCGGTGCAGCAGGTCTCGGCGCGGGAGCCTACACCATCATCGCCTTCGCCGCTCCCCCCAAGAACCGCCCGGCCTTCACCGGCATCATCGGTGCCGCCTACGGTTTCGCCAGTGTCATCGGTCCCCTCCTGGGCGGTGCCTTCACCGACAACGTCAGCTGGCGATGGTGCTTCTACATCAACCTCCCCATCGGAGGCGTCTCGGCCGGCATCATCCTCCTCTTCTTCCAGACCCCTAAGCACGCCGTCCCTGAGCAGGCTCCCCTCCTCGAGAAGCTCCGCCAGATGGATCTCCCCGGTGTCGCCCTGGTCATGGGCGGTGTCGTCGCCTACCTCCTCGGCGTCCAGTACGGCGGCGTCGCCCACCCCTGGAACTCCTCCGTCGTCATCGGCCTCCTCGTCGGCTTCGTCGCCATCGTCGCCGCCTGGGCCGGCCTCCAGTGGCTCCAGGGCGAGCGCTCCATGGTTCCCCCCCGCCTCGCCAAGGAGCGCACCAACTACGTCATGAGCGCCTTCGCCTTCGTCTTCGCCGGCGGCTTCTTCGCCGCCATCTACTACATCCCCGTCTACTTCCAGTCCGTCCACGGCACCTCCCCAACCATGAGCGGCGTCCGCAACCTGCCCATGATCATCGCCGTCACCATCTCCACCATCGCCAGCGGCGCCCTCGTCTCCGCCACCGGCTACTACCAGCCGCTCCTCATCGCCGGCGGCGCCATGGCCACCGTGGGCAGCGGCCTCCTCTACCTGCTCGACACCAACTCCTCCACGGGCCAGTGGATCGGCTACCAGATCCTCGCCGGCGCCGGGTGGGGTCTCGCCTTCCAGATCCCCATGATCGCCGTCCAGGGCACCGTCGACCCCAAGGACCTCGCCTCCGCGACGGGCATGCTCCTCTTCTTCCAGGGGCTGGGCGGCGCCTTCCTCGTGTCCGGGTCGCAGGCCGCCTTCGTCAACCAGATGATCGCAAAGGTCATGAGCCTCAACCCGGGCGTCGACCGGGCCCTCCTCGTCCTCACGGGCGCGACCGAGATCCGCAACGTCTTCCCCAGCGAGCAGCAGCACGACGTCATCGACGGCTACATGACCGGCCTCAAGGTCGTGTTCGCCATGTGCATTGCCTGCTCTGGGCTTGCTACGCTCATTGGTTTCGGTACTAGGTGGCAGAGGCTGAGCCAGGATAAGCGTGGCGGTGCCATGGCATAAGCCAGCTTATTGGAAACAAGAATCTCCAGGTTTTCTGGCTAATCAGATATGAGATATGAATTTTTTGGTTACTAGTATATGGGATAGAGGTAATTGGTAATAGGTTGGGATAGAACGGGTGAAAGATGACTGGGCCCCTCAACGGGTTGATATAAACTAAATAGAGGTTTGGGATAGACTAGATTTACTTGTACGATTTCATTAATGACACAACTCTACACTACAATCATATATCGAAACCATAATCTTCTCATCTGTGATCATAGAGAGCTTGCAATACAAGGCTTTGTCTCCGACACGGTCGAGGTTGAAATTGCTGGTATGCACATCGACATTCATGGCGGCGCAATTCCACCTTCTATCTTGACGTGAGGCAACGCCGTGCGTGCTAGAAGGGAACTTTGTAACAGGAGGCGGGTCTGTCATCCATCATGATGCACAGCGATTTTTAACCCCCCGGAAGAGTTGTCAAGCAAGGGGTGACATAGCACAGTCACCCGGGACGATTGATGTGCCGGCCAAGATCGCCTTTGACCACAAGGTAGGCCCATAGATTGACCGTCATCAATGCCTTGATGAGTCGTCCAGCAAGTGACACAACAAGATCACAGTGCGCGTGTCAAATCATGCGTAGGTAGGGAAATGGGAGCAGAAGCAGATTAATGATCTGTACGACCATCTACTTTGTCATGCCCATCAGAGTCGAGGCTTATGATTACGACGGGCACCCACTCGCTCGACAACTTCTCAGGGCGTGTTAAAAATGCTGTGCAAGCAACGTAATATCTCGTATCTCAACAGCGACTTGCCCTAGTTGCCCAAATAAAGACTTCGACTCTTGCCCAGCAACCCCTCTGAGTAGGTAAGTCAAGATTGCTGTGCAGCGGCGGCACCCTCAATGTGGGTAGAGTGTTTGCTCAGAAGTCTCATACGAGCCTTCTAGAGAGGTAAAAATTGCTGTGCCGACAGCCCGACACGTCCCCAGATAGGTATCAGCAGGGGAGTTGCCTAACAGCCCCTCCGGGCGAGTCGAAATTGCTG